GGTGCTTTGATTATATGAATCCATCCTTTTTGAAAAGTTGTTCCGAATGTAATGAATCCCCTCCCCCTCTATAAGTTAAAAAGGCTACATCTTCTTTTTTCCTTTTTAACAACTTTTTTATTTCGGGGGGGGGGGGGGGGGGGGGGGGGAGGAGGGGGGGTTAGTTGTAAATCAGGCGATTACTTTTCTCAATTGAATTGTTGAATACTTTACATGTCAGGACTGTTTTCCTCATTTTTGAAGGCTGTATGGTTGCCTATAATTGCTTTGATATTTGAACCTCTGTGGATAGTTGTCTCATTGGCAATCATACCACATATTCTGATTTTTTATATTGATTGCAGACCTGAAAAAGATGTTCAAATTTGAATATGCTCCAAACTTCAAACAACCTACTACAACTGATTTAACTTGAAACTGTTGAGCAGATCTATATATATTTGATCTCATTCCAGTCCTTATACCACTATCAATCGACAGAACAAATCAAAATAATTATGATGTCTTGAAAGGTTTTGTAATAAATCTTGAATCTTATCAATATAAAGTTTAAAACTGTATCGCAATAGAAACATGATGGGCTCTTTTACAGCCGAATATACAGTATGGTGTTTTCCCCATTTTGAAGGTGATATGGTTGCCTATAATTTCTTACATCCATTTTATTTGAATTTAAGAGAATAGTTGTTATTTATATAAACAAATCCCACGTCGATATATTGCATGTGCAACAATAAGACATCAACCCAACACCAATTGAAAGACATCTAGAGATCAATATACAGTCTCGAACAATAGACAAAATAAAAAAAAAAATATAGCGAATTATTGAGAAGAATTATTATTACATGTATTTGCAAGATTAAAAATATTTTGTTTAAAATTTTTAGAGTTTTGGGTTCCACCTACCATTTAAGAAAACTGTGATTTCATTGCGGCTAGTCTATTAGAGGGGTATTTCATTGGTCGTAGATTTGGAATCATTATTTTATTATGAAGTAAGAATTGAACATCGACTTGAGGAATGAAGGTTGAGTAAAGGCCGTAGTCAATTTTAGTCTTATATATTTTCACGGGTTTGGGTAGCGTGTACGTGACACATATATCTATACTAATAAAAATGAAGTTTGTTCATGGGATGGGAAAAACATACGTTACTTAACCGAGGAATAATGTAATACATGTATATAATAGATGATTAAATTTAGTGAACTACTAATGTTACTTTTTTTATGACAGGATTTTTAAGCGTTACAATAAAGTTAATTCGTTCTTTAGTTGTCTTTTCTTTACTTTAACCATGAATCCGTCTTCTCAGAACGGGTTACTCTGCCTTGAATCGTCGAGTTTCAACCCGGTATGCAAGTCTTGGAATAAATCTTTATACCAGGATTAACCCCGTATATGTACATACGTGAATGTTCTCTTATCGGAATCATGTCCGACTAGAACTTTTTTGAATATTAAATAAAAATGTCCTGTCCTGAACAGCTTGTTTTTCCTTAAAAAATGCAATCAATTGTGAGAATCACCTCAGTACTATAAAGCAATTGCAAAACTTAAGTAAGCTCTATATATATCTAACTTTTATATAAAATAAAATAAATTTTCTCTGTACCTTTTCTTTTTGCAAATATCTGGAAGTTTTTGTCGTACGTTCTTTCCTCTTTGCCTGTCAGATCCCAGAACCTCGCAAAAGTCTCCCGCTCTTGCTTTTATACCTCAGCTATGTAGCTATAGCAGTTGCTAAAATTTAGCTATCCCCATAGTGTCCCCATAGCTACAGCTAAGAGTGGCGCGAAACCCACCATCTCTTGGGTAACAATCAGAATCTCGTATTTTCATCTCAAAGACATGTTACTTCTTTATTCTATGAAAATTATTTAACTTCCGTTAAATAAATCTTAAATAAACTTTATTTCATTGAAAACTATCACCAAATACAGAATCAGGATAAATTCCCCCATTTCGAGCCTCGCAGATTTTTATTCTATTTTAACCATGTACGCACATGCGCAAAGTCAACTTTCGAATACACATCCTCAATGGTATTTTGTACATCAGGAGTTTGTAAACATTGACCGATAAGACAACAATTTGAAATAAAATGAAATCTTGACATGCTAAAAAGGTAAGACCAGAACAAATCCAACCGCTTTCATGTCGATCCGGCCCCACGTCGATCCGGCCCAAGTCGATCCGTCCCACGTCGATCCGGCCCAACGTCGATCCGGCCCATAATTAAAGTCGATCCGGCCCAATAAAAAAATATATTTATAAGGAATAAAATTAAAGATATATATTAATTGTTTATGAATTTTATTATAATGTAAAAGTTGTACGGTAAAAACAAATGGCCTTTGACAAATATTTTCTTTAGATGAGTATAAAACAACTATGTTGATTATGTTTTCATTACACGCTTTCAAGATTATTGGGTATAATTATAATAAAAACGTATATAACAGAATTTAGTACAATCAACAAACCTCAACATTAATCAGTAGTAATTAGCATTTCTTTCAATTGACTGTAATCTTAACAAGTCTTTCATCCTGTGTAATAACAAATAGTTACATACACAACGGTACAAGCCGATCCCCAAGCTGATACATACAAACTTTGTTTTTGTTTTAAGTTCTTAAAACTTCTCAAATTGAGAAATGTTGTTTGATTTGCCGAATCCTTCCTATAAAAGAGGAGACAGAATGCTTTTGCTTCTAATATCACGATGGCTTTTCCTTGCGTGGTATGTGACCAACATGTTAGACCCCGGCAGCATGCACTTCAGTGTGAGCAATGTTCAAAGTGGCAACTTTAAAAAAATATATTGGCTATATTCGATATTATAAAAAAAAAAACATGTGTTATAGAAGCCTCTGATGTTACCTGAAAAAAAAAATACAATTAATTATTATAACACATAACACCAAACAAAAGATCAAACTATAAAGACCTTGTTGATTACGTAACTTTAATCAATCAGGATTTGATTGAATTAAGTGATTACGAGTGGCATTACCTTAGTTCACAATCATCACACAATTGTGTAGCAACATTCCAGCAGCGCCTGCATACGGAGTATATATCTCCCAATTGATACGATATTCCCGGGCTTGTGTTTCCTATCATGATTTCCTTGATAGAGGATTGCTGCTCACAAGGAAGCTATTAAGCCAAGAGTTCCAAATGATAAAGTTGAAATCATCCCTTCGTAAATTTTACGGACGCCATCACGAGTTGGTTGACCGTTATGGAATAACCGTTTCACAGATGATATCGGATATGTTCCTTATGTCGCAACTACAATACCCTTCCCTTTTCACGAATGTGACTTACCGAATTAGACTATTTACCGGATTTGTAATAACATAAGCAACACGACGGGTGCCACATGTGGAGCAGGATCTGCTTACCCTTCCGGAGCACCTGAGATCACCCCCAGTTTTTGGTGGGGTTCCTGTTGCTTAGTCTTTAGTTTTCTATGTTGTGTCATCTGTACTATTATTTGTCTGTTTGTCTTTTTATTTTTGGCCATGGCGTTGTTAGTTTGTTTGACTGTCCCTCTGGTATCTTTCGTCCCTCTTTTTGAAAAAAACAAACCAATTATAGACTAATGATTTGATTAAACGTGACAAGTCATTGTCAATTTTATAGGTTCCATTGGACTGTAAATATTTATTTAGCTATTCTGTGTGTGAATTAAATAAAATAAAAATCGCCATGACATTCAAAGTTATCATGGAAAATAACTTCATATTAATATGTTGAAGCTGCTATACAAACAGACACAATCACACTCATTTTCGTATCGATTCAAAATAATTCTTTGACTGGTACTCCAATACTTCACTTACCTGTTGTCATTCATCATCGATACTTTTTACAAATTCCATTTATACTGTTAAAATTTGTCATAAAATCCTCCAAAGTCAATTTAGTTTATTCATATTTTATTATGGGGCCGGATCGACGTAGGGACGGATCGACGTGGGCCGGATCGACTTGGGACGGATCGACTTTGGGCCGGATCGACTTGGGGCCGGATCGGTTTGGGGACGGAACGACCGGGTACCATCCAACCGACGTAAAACCTCTGAAGCAACTGTCATGTGCTTAAACAAAAGAAATACACTCAAACCATGAGACTTCCCACTTCTCGTATGCAAAATGTGTATGTTGACTCGTCCACTTGTGCTTAAATTTACCAATCTCATATACCAAATATTTATATGTAAATGAACAATACCATTAACTGTAACATATGTTACGTTGGTATAAGTAATGTGTAAATTAACTCGCACAAACCCTTGTAATATAAAAAAAGGGGGAGGGGGGTGTCAACAAATATTTGTCCCACCTAACAGAAGTTCCAGTGGAAACTTTGTTATAAACAATCTCAAAATATATGTTCCTGTTGGAACAAATATTCTATAACCTTTATTCGGTAAGGAACAAATTCTGTAATATTTGTTCAAATGGAAGTAATATTACAGAATATTTCTGCCACTTGGAACTTACATTATGAAGGAACTTCTATTTCGTGACAGGGGGGGGGGGGGGGGGGGGGTTAATTTGTAGATCATTACACTATGTATACATATATTATTGATTCAGTGGTGATGGTAAATAGACACTGACGAAGTCTCATAACATTTTATAGTTTTGAATGATTCTTCAACTGTTAACTAAGATTATAGGTGGAGGTATGTTCTTATTTCCGACAGAGGGGCACTCAACCTATATCAATTTGTGCATGAAGCGATTGTTACTTGCTAGATACAGAATGATAATACCACAAATTTGTGAAGTTTTAACCGGTGTATATACTGAAAATATGATAAAAAAATTCCTTTTCAGGACTTCTGATCCATCCATGTGGTATGGCATGTTTGTGAGATGTGGTTATGGTGGATTGATGTTCATGAAGGACCTGTAGTACAAAGTATTTCACTGGATTGAGCTCTTTGTCTAAGTGTATTATTATAGTGCTTTGCTCTGAGCTCAGTTTATTGTTATGCATTTCATTCTTTGTGAAATAAAGATTTGACAGACAACTCTCATCTGCCTAAGGAGTTGTCAAAGTAGTATCTATTCTCTGTACAATGTAAGTAGTAATGGGGAGATTAAAGCATTTTATTACATTGGTTGCAATGAATTACATTGATTTCCCAGTGAAATAAAAACCGATAATTTCACATGTGAAATAAACGTGGTTATTTCACTCCTCTGACGTCATACAACAATATGCGTTGTCATGACGTCGGATCAAAACAAATTGTGAATGCTTAGAAAAAGATATAGTTCCTTACATATTCTAGTTTAATTTCAGAAAAAAGACCATATGCCAATGTAATAAAAAGAATAACTAATCAAAGAATTCAAATATCGAAAAATATTCAACTTGTGACCGAACAACACTGATAATTAACTCATGCGCTACGCGCATTCGTGAATTAATGTGTTGTTCGGTCACTTGTTGAATATTTTTCTCTATTTGAATTCTTCGATTAGTTATTCTATAATTATTTAGATTTGATTCAAACATTTTTTGTCTAGAAGCCAAATTGAAAAAAAACACAAATTTACCAAACAATGCTACTCATGCTACTAGCAATATCATTATGATGATAGGTGGTTTTGTTACACTTTTTTTTATACATCTGTACTGCCTACTGAGGATGCAGTTCTGAGTGTAAATGGTCATTCAGTATGTTAATAAAAAAAAAGAACAAAATTCATAAGGCCTATCTGGCCTACCGGTAATTGATTTCTAAAATAATATTTCATTGTTCAACATTTATCATTCATTTGTTTATTTCTTAATTTGCGTGAGTTAACAGTAAATGTTTTACTGCACTTTCATACCACAACGAAACGACCTTACTGTACTTGTATCACTTATATTTGTATCCATATATATATATAAAAAAATTAAAAACAAGAATATTTTTGCAATACCTTTTTCATTTTGAATACCATAACTTTTTAGATATTTAGACATATTAAGTAGATGTTCATATCCACCAGAAATTTTGTCAGATGACTTATGTAGCAGTTATGAGTCTTTGAAGCATGCTCACAAAGGTTCTTTTGTTGATATCATTTACCATACTGGTCAAAACTTTTTTTTGATTTCACCAGGCTTTGGAGAAGAAATTTTCGAAGAATTAATAAAAAATTAAACAGAAGTTTACTTTCTAGCTCATCTAGCCCCAAGCATCATGTCAGACATTGTCATAACTTAAAACCATAACCGGTAAATGTCTTCTAATCTGAGAAACAATTTTGACATATAAAGGAACTTTTTTACTTGTGATACTGGGAAGATCCAACACAAAGTAACATAAATAGAACCATACTAATAGAACTCAAATACATGTTCTCAGATACCATCTCCCATATAAAAAAATCTCATCATGAACAATTGAACCTAATATGTGTTCCTCTCCTAGCTACAAAATGTATCCAAAATCAAAGATGTGGAACATATTCTATCATAATAATTTGGTAGTCAATGCAATTAGTGTCTCTTCCATGACCGTCTTGAACATAAAAAACTAAATATTAAAAAAAAAGTACTCCTTATGCTCAGGTTTGCTGTCATTGTGCAACACAGTTAATAATATAGAACCCTATGGGAAAAACCAGAGAACTCCTTTTGTCAGAAAACACTGTCAAACATCCAAACATACTATCCACACTGATCTGTGTTCACACTTGTATAATGTAAAGAATAAAAACTGTCAAAATTAAAGAAAACTGTACATTGGTTTGACATAGATGTCTTGTGCAGTTGGTCTTAACACACGACTAATCATTCAGCTGTAGTAAGGGTTTTATGCCACACCAGCACAAAACGGCATATATAAACTACTGACATTGCAACATGGTATTGATAAGAGCTAAAATGAGTGAAATTGAGTAAGAATATTAAAAAAATATATACTAAAAAAAAATTAATTACTAAATACTAAGGATTTTCTTATCCAAGGCATAGATAACCTTAGCCGTATTTGGCACAACTTTTTAGGAATTTGGGTCATCAATGCTCTTCAACTTTCTACTTGTTTGGCTTTAATTTTCTTTACTATTTTGATCTGAGCGTCACTGGTGAGACTTACGTAGACGAAACGCTTGTATGGTGTATTAAATTATTAGCCTGGTATATTTGATAACTATTAGCATGTCGAAATGTCCTATTGTAATGGTTATTTGTGTATTTCTCTGTCCTGAATGTTCTTGCATTTATTTGTACTGTAGTCCTGTCATGTAATGTTGTCATTTTGGTGTTATATTTAACATTGCCATCAAAGCGCGAGGTTTGGCTTTCTTATAATGTCCTGTACCAAGTCAGGAAAATGGCAGTTGTTATCTTGTAGTTTGTTTCTGTGTGTTTTGCATTGTCGTTTTGGTTTTTTGTTGCACTTCAGTGTTTATGTTGTTTCGTTGTTTTCCTTTTATAGTTGATGTGTTTACAGTATTTGGATGGTGTAAACTTCCCACTAACACGTACCATACACAATTCACCATACACCATTTCACCATACACCCTGTGCCATTACACCATACACGTTACACCTTTGCACCATACACCTTACACATTCTATCTACACCATCTGAAATTACCCATAATGCAATTTAATTTCAAAGAAAGCGTGCGACTACAAAATTATTGATTTATTTTAAAAACGAATTTTGATCACGATATTGTAAATTAATGTATAAAATTAAAAATCAGTTCTTATTAATATTTTGCATAGTTTTAAACATTGATAACCACACTTTATATACACGTTAAACAATCACACCATTCCCCTTACACCATACACCATAGCACCATACACATTATACCATTGCACCATATGCCATACACCATTACACCGTACACGTTTTTTGGGGGGAATTAAACACTATCCAAGGGCTGTACCTCAGTTTTAGTTTGTTACCCGTATATATTTTCTCTCAATCGATTTATGACTTTCGAACAGCGGTATACTACTGTTGCCTTTATTTAAAACACAAAGATGTCCATAGCGCCTGTAGTCGTATTTAGGTTTTTGATACTTAACTTTGAAATACTCCCGTATAGATTTATGTTAGATATTAAAATGTTCAACTGATTCAACCATTTTATATTCAACTATAATTCTCATGGCCCATATTATCAGGGGCGGATCGAGGATTTTGGAATGGGGGGAAGTTTGTCGAGCGGAGCTAGGCGAAAAAAAATTTTGGACCTTTTTTTGGCTAAAAAACATAAAATAAGTGTTAAATGCATTTTATAGTTAAAGTGTAGAGGTTGGACATTTCTGGTGCCGTATTATCTCCATCAATTGTCTATTATGAAATGATTGGATGGATCCAAAGCTATGTACTAATTAATATATTTGATGTGGGATTTGTCAGTAAAAATGTACATGGAAAATTCTCGTTTGTTGTATGGTTAGTTAGCATAACCTCACAGATTTCTTGTTGTAAACAAGATATACGGCTATTCAATGAAATTTACAATACGACTGACACGAAGAAAGACAAACAAGCAGTTTTCATCCAAATGTTTGGTTGAAATGTTTTACCGAACAAGGGAAGTGAGGGGTTCCAAATCAACCAAAGGCTACGAATTAGTCGGAAATGACAATGAAGTTGTGAATGACGGTCGACACAGGGAGACATATAGGCCACACCCAGCAGGCAGGTTGCAGTCGGGCCTTGAAAAAAGTATTCAGTATATCAGTTCGGCGAAACAGACATTCCGGTCAGATATGGGATTCACATGCAACCCCCCCCCCCCCCCCCCCAAAAAAAAAAAAAATTACGCCCGTTTTTTATTCATCATGTTCATTTAATGCTAAATAATTCTGTTGAAAATATTTTTTTCTAATAGCAAAAACGTGGACAATCCAGGCCAGAATTTTTGTTTATGGCAAAAATCAGGGTAAGAATTTTTTCTCTAAAATATCTCAGATTCCCCCCTCAGATCAAATGGTCCGTACCTTAGACTTTAAATCTATATCTAGAGCTTACTGATTGGGGATCACTATTCAGCAGTGTTATTAATGGGCTGGGGAGTGTGGGGTTAAACATGTTTTCGTAGGTAAATAATATTGCTGTGGAACTTTTTTTTCATGAGAGTGTTATAGAGTATTACTCTCTGTTGGGTGGAATTGTGAAATAGAAGTCAATACGTTCTTGCTCAATACTTTGTCGCTTTGAAGGCGTCATGCTTTTCATCCTCAGCCTAAGCAATGTGTTACTGTAATTTGAATTTCAAAATGACTGAGTGACGTTTTTTTCCGACGAACTGGTCAACTCCAAAGTAGAGAATCACATGACTTTGACATAATCAATAATATATTACAGTAAATACGAGCGAAAAATATCTTTACAAGTAAAGAATTGTCGCATAAAAATTAAATACACGGGAAATGGCAAAGTTCACGAAGTCTAGTCTGATTAATCATTTTACAAAAAAAAAAAAAAAAAAAAAGTGCAAGCAAAAAGGGGGGGGGGGCGTACGCCATCTACTCCCCCTCTGGATCCGCCACTGATTATTACTGATAACGGCTCGTACATATGTCAGTGTAGGATGAATATTTTAATCGTTCCTCGTATTAAATGTGACTTTGACATAATTTAACATAGCTGATTCATAAATATGTATGGCAACATGCCAGAAAGTATAAAAATAGAAATATTTTGCTGTGTGCAAAACATCACCTGACATAAACCGTGTGCAAAATTCCGATTCAATCTAATTACTATGTTATGACGCAGTAAAATATGGGTTTCGACATGAGGCTCTCAAGAAGGGTTTATATGTTGTTCGACATACATTGTGTTTATAAAATGTAAATATACATTAAGAATTAAGTACAAATAAAATGTAGAATGATGTAAGTCGATTATATGTTTTTCACTGATTTAAACCAAGTCTTTGTTAAGTTAAGCTAGACAAAAATGTTGATTATGACATATGACATAGTATACACTATGTCGAACCTCAAATAACATAGTTTTTGCACACGAAATTTTCTCAGATAATTATATAAAAATCGGCATACTACCAGAAAACAACCAATCTATTTTATATCATATTAAGCAGACAAACTGAAACGAATAAAATGACTTGTAACTGCATTGAAAGTAAGTAGCTTACATATATAAAACATATAATATGTGGTGATTATTGAAAAAAAAATATTATGTATATTGTGTCTAACAAAATGTTAACCAGTTAATTTAGGTTATTATTGACAAATCAAAGATTTTATTCAAAATGTGTTCTATAATTACTGCCGGGAAGAGGAGATATTGATATTTGTTATTTTATAATCCAGAATTAAGAAAATTTTGTTATCAATATGAAATGTGAGATAAGTATTATACGTAAGAAGTTGGAAAATAGAGATGAAAATACAATTGTACACTCTTCTATTTATTTTGTCCTCCGTTTCCTCTCCTTTTACCTGCTTCACTAATTAATTACTGCTACGCATAAAGGACAAATATTCATTATTCATGGGGAGGTCAGAAGGGTTTTCATGGACTGAATATCCATTTTCATCTGTTGCTATCCACACTTAGTGTTTCCCAAGGCCTTACCAGGGTAGAATATTTATTTTCAAAATGCTCCTGGCCCTTTCCGAAAATCAAATGCTCGTTCAACTTACCTGGATTGTGTTGATTATTTGCATGCAATAATCATAATCTTGAGTATTAAGGTAAACCGCCTGCTAAAGATTATCAAAAGTTTGCCATTCATGTAATACAAGTGAAAGTTTAAAGAATGATTGTGAGTCACCTGAAATCACTAATATTTCGGCTTTTACTTTATGTGTAGCAAACGTGTGTATCTGTGGTACAGGATGCAGCGGGAAATGTTGTCAATGTGGAGACGCCTGCAAATGTGCAAGTGGCTGTGGATGTTCCGGGTGTAAAGTTGTTTGCAATTGTTCAGGTTTGTTCATATTTACAGCCTTTTTTTAGATATCCATTTTATTTCATAATTTGAATTTTAACACAAATATAATAAGATGTGGTATGACTTGTTCTCCTAGACTACAATATCAATAAGTACACATCAAACTGATTTAGTGTTAAGACGTCATAAACAATCATTGAAGGCATTACCTTGTCCAATGCCATCATATAAGCAAAGAGTATCGATATGATGTAGGATTATGTACTTATAATTGTACATATATAGCAACTTATAATTAATCATGTTGCAATTTTACAAAAAAAAACCAAAAAAAAACCAAGTAGTTTCAGTTTTCCCCCTTTTCAATAACTGCTCTAAATTGCATAATTAGGAGGTAAAAAATAAATGTATTATTGGATGAAATATTTGACCGTATTATAATTTTATTTGTTTGCTTGTTTTTTTATACGACCGCAAAAAATTTTTTGTGGTCGTATATTGGTATGACGTTGGCGTCGTCGTCGTCGTCGTCGTCGTCGTCCGGCGTCGTCTGGCGTCGTCCGAAGACACATTGGTTTTCGCACTCTAACTTTAGTTTAAGTGAATGGATCTCTATGAAATTTTACCACAAGGTTCAATACCACAAAAGGAAGGTTGGGATTGATTTTTGGGGGTTATGGTACCAACAGTAAAGGAATTAGGGGCCAAAAAGGGGCCAAAAATAAGCATTTTCGTAACTTCCAGACATAACTTGTGTGTTAGTGTATGGATCTCTCTGACATTGTACCACAAGGTTCCATATCACAAAAGGAATGCTAGGATTGATTTTGGGGCTAATTGCCTCAAAATTTTAGGAATAAGGGGCCAAAAAAGGGGCAAAAAACAAGCATTTTTCTAGTTTCATGACAATAACTTGTGTGCAAGTGTATGAATCTTTTTGAAATTGTACTACAAGGTTCCATATCACAAAGGGAAAGCTGGAATTGAGTTTGGGGGTAATTGCCGAAACGTTTAGGAATTGGGGGCCAAAAAGGGGCCAAAAATAAGCATTTTTCTAGTTTCCAGACAATAACTTGTGTTCAAGTGTATGGATCTCTCTGAAATTGTACTGCAAGGTACCATACCACAAAGGGAAGGCTGGGATTGATGATGGGGGTAATTGCGTCAATATTTTAGGAATTAGGGGCAAAAAAGGGGCAAAAAACAAGCATTTTTCTAGTTTCATGACAATAACTTGTGTGTAAGTGTATGGATCTTTCTGAAATTGTACTACAAGGTTCCATATCACAAAGGGAAAGCTGGGTTTGATTTTGGGAGTAATTGCCTTAATCGTTTAGGAATTTGGGGCCAAAAAACACATTTTTCTAGTTTCCAGACAATAACTTGTATTCAAGTGTATGGATCTCTCTGAAATTGTACTGCAAGGTACCATACCACAAAGGGAAGGCTGGGATTGAGTTTGGGGGTGATGAATCATAAGGGGGTTTAAAAAATTTGGGGGGGGGGATTTTTTTTTTTTCCTTTTTTTCTTTTTTTCCTTTTTTGCAATAGCAAGAAATTTTCAATTGCACAGTATTGCACAATAGCAAGAAATCTTCAATTGCACAGTATTGTGCAATACCAAGAAATCTTCAATTAAACAGTATTGCGCAATAGCAAGAAATATCCAATAGCACAATATTGCGCAATAGCAAGAAATTGTCAATTGTACAGTATTGCGCAATAGCAAGAAATATTTAATTGCACAGTATTGTGCAAAAGAAGATACTTCGTATAAATTGCTTATTTCTTGACCAATTTCAATGGGGTTTTATTCTTGAATTCTTGGGGTTCTTTAATATGCTGAATCTTTAACCATGTATTTAGTTTTTGGATTTTGGGCCCCGTTTTTAAATTGGTCCACATTGAGGTCCAAAGGGTCCAAAATTAAACTTTGTTTGATTTCATCAAAAATTGAATTATTGGGGTTCTTTGAAATGCCGAATCTAACCGTGTATTTAGATTCTTAATTTTTGGTTCCGTTTTCAAATTGGTCTACATTAAGGTCCAAAGGGTCCAAAATTAAACTTAGTTTGATTTTAACAAAAATTGAATTCTTAGGGTTCTTTGATATGCTAAATCTAAACATGTATTTAGAATTTTGATTATGGGCCCAGTTTTCAAGTTGGTCCAAATCGGGGTCCAAAATTAAACTTTGTTTGATTTCAACAAAAATTGAATATATGGGGTTCTTTGATATGCTGAATCTAACCATGTATTTAGAATTTTGATTTTTGGGCCCCGTTATCAACTTTGTCCACATTGGGGTCAAAAGGGTCCAAAATTAAACTTTGTTTGATTTCATCAAAAATTGAATTCTTGGGGTTCTTTGATATGCTGAATCTAACCATGTATTTAGATTTTGGATATTGGACCATAATAGATGAATGTCCAATTTAAAATTTTTAAGTTCTTAGACCACATTCATTCTGTGTCAGAAACCTATGCTGTGTCAAATATTTAATCACAATCCAAATGCAAAGCTGTATCAAGCTTGAATGTTGTGTCCATACTTGCCCCAACTGTTCAGGGTTCGACCTCTGCGGTCGTATCAAGCTGCGCCCTGCGGAGCATTTTATTGGATTTTGGGCCCCGTTTTTAAATTGGTCCACATTGAGGTCCAAAGGGTCCAAAATTAAACTTTGTTTGATTTCATCAAAAATTGAATTATTGGGGTTCTTTGATATGCCGAATCTAACCGTGTATTTAGATTCTTAATTTTTGGTTCTGTTTTCAAATTGGTCTACATTAAGGTCCAAAGGGTCCAAAATTAAACTTAGTTTGATTTTAACAAAAATTGAATTCTTAGGGTTCTTTGATATGCTGAATCTAAACATGTATTTAGATTTTTGATTATGGGCCCAGTTTTCAAGTTGGTCCAAATCGGGGTCCAAAATTAAACTTTGTTTGATTTCAACAAAAATTGAATATATGGGGTTCTTCGATATGCTGAATCTAACATAGCCAGAAATTAGTAGTACTTTTGCTAATTAATATTCATAATATGTAAATGAGAATTGTACCACGTGATAATAGTTTGAACTGGACTGGCTTGGTAGCATTAAAATCTTTAAAACACGGATATTCGATAAGTTGCCCGTCACAGAGTCCTTGTTTATAATCACTCTGATATTTCCGTTAAGTTGTCAGGCGGTCAAAATCAAAACAATGAACGCGAATTTAGTGAATTTTTCGTGTTTTCGTGAGTTTATTCTTCTTGAAATAGGGGCATTTTAACTTTACGTGGGAACCTAGAGTTCAACGACTACACATACAAGGTTTGGACTTGCTTATTCTTTGGACATTCAAGTTTCAAGTTTCACCCCGGCAACCTGTATTTCTAATGACCTTGTTAGCCAATTTTCAACACGAAGTTTGCAAATTTGACGTTTCAGCCATTTTAGCCTGTATTTTATACTGCAATGTTAAAAGCCTCTCGCTTCGATTTTTAAAATAGCTCAGGAACCTTGATTTTTGCAACGCCAGTCATTATATTTCGTTTAAATGGTTTATATTGTTATGTATATTTATTTTCTGCCCCGGCAACCTGTCTATCACTTAAATCAAAGTTAAAACAGACATTTTTTCTAAATTCCCTATCATTTCAATATAATTTCCGTGACCCGTATCCGATTTCTTTAGTATAATATTCAAATAATCAAAGTGGTGTTGATTTCTGGATGTATTTAGATTTTTGATTTTTGGGCCCCGTTATCAACTTTGTCCACATTGGGGTCAAAAGGGTCCAAAATTAAACTTTGTTTGATTTCATCAAAAATTGAATTCTTGGGGTTCTTTGATATGCTGAATCTAACCATGTATTTAGATTTTGGATATTGGACCATAATAGGCGAATGTCCAATTTAAAATTTTTAAGTTCTTAGACCACATTCATTCTGTGTCAGAAACCTATGCTGTGTCAAATATTTAATCACAATCCAAATGCAAAGCTGTATCAAGCTTGAATGTTGTGTCCATACTTGCCCCAACTGTTCAGGGTTCGACCTCTGCGGTCGTATCAAGCTGCGCCCTGCGGAGCATTTTATTTATACCTATGATACTGTTTCGAAATCGTCCTGATATAAAATATGTTTCATTTCTTTTGCTTAGGCCCTGATTAAGGAAAGTAGGGGGAGGGGAGTCATTATTAAAACAAATGTTTGATTCTGAATATCCTGGACTTGAAACTTCGTTTCAGAAGAGAAGTTAAACAACAAAAACTTGCTGTGTTCGTGTATACATGTGTAAATGACAAATAAAAAACAATTCAAACGAGAAAACTAACGGCCTGATTTATGTACAAAACAATAAACAACATGATTCAATGTGGTACACAAAAAAGTAATTACATTTAGTGGGTATTTATTATTTTTCAGGTACTTGTGTGTGTGGATGTGATTGTAATAGTCCGACAAACTGCAAATGTCAATCTGGGTGCTCCTGCAAATGAAACAAAGACAGCCACAACTTAACGTGCATAATCTATTCATACTTGTAACTCATATCATTCATAATTATATATATAGTTGTTGATGTTTACTGATATCAAAAACACTAATATAATATTTAATATATTTGGATGTTGAAAAATATTTATTTTGTATTAAAACTGTTTTACGTCCATAAATGTCAATTCAATTGTAATAAATGATTTTCGTTTTAAAGCTTTCGTTTCTGAATACAGGATGATCTGGTATTCACAAACTTGTTAAAAAAAAGCAGGAATATATAAACAGTAAAAAAGAACCAATTTCATCTACTTGCTATAAACATTAAACCTTAACATTACATTTCAACTCGTTCATCAAACCAATCTGATCATAGGCGGATCGGGGGGGGGGGGGGGGGGGGAATGGGGGCTGGATGGCCCGGGCTCCCCCTTTCGTGGGAAAAATTTGGTTGATTATATAGGGAATCACTGAAGCATGACTGGAGCGGGCCCCCTCTTAGGTCAGTCAGCGGGCCCCCCTTATGAAAAGTTCTGGATCCGCCGATGCTGATTGAAGAACAGCATTTATTTATACGCTTAGATTAGCAAACCATGGATACATGTTCTGTACTTGAATCAGATTGTTCTCAAATAATCAACATGCCTATGCCTAGATTGTTTCTAGTAGAGTGCTCTCCGTGAATGCATGAGGACTCAGGTCGTTGTTTAAATCCCCCGCTCTATCAAACCAATCTGATTGAAGTACAGCATTTATTTCTACGCTTAGATTAGCAAACCATGGATACATGTTCTGTACTTGAATCAGATTGTTCTCAAATAATCAACATGCATATGCCTAGATTGTTTCTAGTAGAGTGCTCTCCGTGAATGCACGAGGACTCAGGTCGTTGTTTCAATCCCCCGCTAGGTCAAGCATTGCTCTGTTTTCTGGTTCAAACCAAATACTTGGAATTGTTAATTTTTGTCTCACAAGGCACGCATCATTTAGAAGAAAGCATTATGTGTCTTAGTAGGATATTTGTTCGTATTGACCTGTATTTACTTGAAACATAGCACGTTGAAAATCCCAGTGGGTCGGTCTAATGCATGCTGTTTAAAAATTCATATTTGATTAACATGTCAATGCTCTAGCTGAACACTATGCAGTATTAGCCGTTTGACGTTTAGCAGATATCAATCAACCAATCACAAGGACACAACTAAAAGGGAGGGATTTATATTCCGCAGTCGAAGAAACTTTATAAACCACTGGATTCAGTAGTTACAATGTGTGTGTATATAAGTAAGTCTTCTTGCATTCAAGACAAGATCAGTCTGAAATGTCTCCCCACAAAGAAAATTGCCTCTATTTTAAAGTATAATTATTTTTTTTGTTGTTAGTTTTTGCTTATGCAAATTTCTCACCGAGGAAAAACATAGTTGCCTCAGTGAACTTCTTTGGTTTCAATGAATGATTCGATCGTTTTGCTACTGAATAATTTCATGTCTAGCTATTGTTAGTTGTCCTGTGTGAGATATTTAGTTTACATTATCACTTACTTGTACCACAATCAAACTGTATAGTAGTGCTGACTAAGAGTGGTTTTACGTCCGAGGTGGTTTAAAAAGATCAAGAAGCTACCAAGAGCTCTACCCTAAGAGGAGACCAGTGCGCTTGAAAGGGGTGTGAGTCTTCGTCTCAGGGGTAATGACGTAATATAATGGATATCCAGACAGTAAAACATATAGAATTACGCTTGTGGAGCGTTAAAAATTGTATAGATGAATGTGCAATTACAAAGAACATTTTTTTTTTCAATTCTCGACTGTATGCTGATTGTTACATTTTAAAATTGTTCCTCGATGTTCATCGGTTCTATATAGCCTGTTTGTTCTGTTGGGGCGTAACGCACTAATAATCAGCTGTAATAAAGAATGTATGCCCAATCAGCAGAAAACGGCATATATAAACTACTGTTATTAAAAAATCATATTGATAAGAGCAAGAACACGTTAAATGATTGAAATTGAGTTAATATAATAAAAAAATATTTACTAAAACAAAAAAAAAAGCATCAAATAATCCGAATATATAGAAATATATAGATATATGGGGGACTTTTCCATAGCGCATGTGTAGTCATATTAAAGTTTTTGATATTGAAATTAGGAATATTCCTTTATAACTTTATGTCAAATATTGAAATTATCGACTAATTTAAACATTTAAATTTAAACAATGAGTCACAGGGCCAATATTAATACCCAAAAGAGATAACGACTCGTACTTGATATGTTATAGTATGTATGTTATGTCAGTATAAGATGGATATTGATCTGTCTTACTATGAAATATCATTGTGACAAATTTTTATACGACCGCAAAAATTAAAAATTTTTTGGTCGTATATTGGTATGACGTTGGCGTCGTCGTCGTCGTCGTCGTCGTTGTCGTCGTCGTCGTCGTCGTCGTCGTCGTCGTCCGGCGTCGTCCGGCGTCGTCCGAAGACACATTGGTTTTCGCACTCTAACTTTAGTTTAAGTGAATTGATCTCCATGAAATTTCACCATAAGGTTCAATACCACAAAAGGAAGGTTGGGATTGATTTTGGGGGTTATGGTACCAACAGTTAAGGAATTAGGGGCCAAAAAGGGGCCAAAAATAAGCATTTTTGTAACTTTCAGACAATAACTTGTGTGTAAGTGTATGGATCTCTCTGACATTGTACCACAAGGTTCCATATCACAAAGGGAAGGCTGTAATTGATTTTGGGGGTAATTGCCTCAAAATTTTAGGAATTAGGGGCCAAAAAAGGGGCAAAAAACAAGCATTTTTCTAGTTTCATGACAATAACTTGTGTGTAAGTGTTTGGATATTTCTGAAATTGTACTACAAGGTTCCATATCACAAAGGGAAAGCTGGAATTGAGTTTGGGGGTAATTGCCCGAAACGTTTAGGAATTGGGGGCCAAAAAGGGGCCAAAAATAAGCATTTTTCTAGTTTCCAGACAATAACTTGTGTTCAAGTGTATGGATCTCTCTGAAATTGTACTGCAAGGTACCATACCACAAAGGGAAGGCTGGGATTGAGTTTGGGGGTGATGAATCATAAGGGGGTTCAAAAAATTGGGGGGGGGATTTTTTTTTTTTTTTTTTTTCTTTTTTTCCTTTTTTTTTTCTTTTAAAATTTTCCATTTTAAGTTGGTTATTTCTGATTTATATTCAAAAGCAAATAATAATGATATGGTAGGAGATACACACCAAACAGGATGTGTAAATTATTATATAATAAGTATTGCGCAATAGCAAGAAATTTTCAATTGCACAGTATTGCACAATAGCAAGAAATCTTCAATTGCACAGTATTGCGCAATAGCAAGAAATCTTCAATTTAACAGTATTGCGCAATAGCAAGAAATATCCAATAGCACAATATTGCGCAATAGCAAGAAATTGTCAATTGTACAGTATTGCGCAATAGCAAGAAATATTCAATTGCATAGTATTGTGCAAAAGAAGATACTTCGTATAAATTGCTTATTTCTTGATCAATTTCAATGGGGTTTTATTCTTGAATTCTTGGGGTTCTTTAATATGCTGAATCTAACCGTGTATTAAGTTTTTGGATTTTGGGCCCCGTTTTTAAATTGGTCCACATTGAGGTCCAAAGGGTCCAAAATTAAACTTTGTTTGATTTCATCAAAAATTGAATTATTGGGGTTCTTTGATATGCCGAATCTTACCATGTATTTAGATTTTTAATTTTGGGTCCCGTTTTTTAAATTTGTCTACATTAAGGTCCAAAGGGTCCAAAATTAAACTTAGTTTGATTTTAACAAAAATTGAATTCTTAGGGTTCTTTGATATGCTGAATCTAAACATGTGTTTAGATTTTTGATTATGGGCCCAGTTTTCAAGTTGGTCCAAGTTGGGGTCCAAAATTAAACTTTGTTTGATTTCAACAAAAATTGAATATATGGGGTTCTTTGATATGCTGAATCTAAACATGTATTTAGATTTTAGATTTTTGGCCCAGTTTTCAAGTTGGTCCAAATTGGGGTCCAAAATTAAACTTTGTTTGATTTCAACAAAAATTGAATATATGGGGTTCTTTGATATGCTGAATCTTACCATGTATTTAGATTTTTTATTTGTGGGCCCGCTATCAAATTGGTTCATATTGAGGTCAAAAGGGTCCAAAATTAAACTTTGTTTGATTTCATCAAAAATTGAATTATTGGGGTTCTTTGATATGCCAAATCTAACCGTGTATTTAGATTTTTAATTTTGGGTCCTGTTTTTTAAATTGGTCTACATTAAGGTCCAAAGGGTCCAAAATTAAACTTAGTTTGATTTTAACAAAAATTGAATTTTTGGGGTTCTTTGATATGCTGAATCTATACATGTGTTTAGATTTTTGATTATGGGACCAGTTTTCAAGTTGGTCCAAGTTGGGGTCCAAAATTAAACTTTGTTTGATTTCAACAAAAATTGAATATATGGGGTTCTTTGATATGCTGAATCTAACCATGTATTTAGATTTTAGATTTTTGGCCCAGTTTTCAAGATGGTCCAAATTGGGGTCCAAAATTAAACTTTGTTTGATTTCAACAAAAATTGAATATATGGGGTTCTTTGATATGCTGAATCTTACCATGTATTTAGATTTTTAATTTGTGGGCCCGCTATCAAATTGGTTCATATTGAGGTCAAAAGGGTCCAAAATTAAACTTTGTTTGATTTCATCAAAAATTGAATTATTGGGGTTCTTTGATATGCCAAATCTAACTGTGTTTTTAGATTTTTAATTTAGGGTCCCGTTTTTTAAATTTGTCTACATTAAGGTCCAAAGGGTCCAAAATTAAACTTAGTTTGATTTTAACAAAAATTGAATTCTTCGGGTACTTTGATATGCTGAATCTAAACATGTGTTTAGATTTTTGATTATGGGACCAGTTTTCAAGTTTGT